AAAATTACTATTATAACAGTTGTTAAAATTTAAAGACTAATTTGAGATAAAATTAAAATTAAAAAGTAGTAGAGGTTAATTTAGAGTGAGACTATGCTTTTTCTCATTAATGTACTCCCCAGTCTCCCATTGATTTGACCATATATATAATTAATAGAATCTCAAGGCAACAAAAGTTACGTGTCTCCACTATGTGACAAGAGTGAGGAGTTTTCATATGTTCTGATAGAGTAATATAGCTAATAGATTAGTTTAGCCAAGTTAGTTATAACTGTCAAGTTTATATTCTGTTAATCATAACAGAATCCCTCTATATAAGGATCTGGTATCTCAGTGTATTTCATGATTCAATACAATTCTCATTCAATCTCTTTTAGCTTTTCTTCCTTTCTTGTTATCTGCATATGCATCTGATACCTTACATGGTATCAGAGCTCACTTCGATCCATGGCCACAGTTCAAGAATCGTCTTCTGCTTCCGCGAGTTCATCCTCTCCTCTACACACTTTTTCCAATCCAGTATCATTTAAGCTGGATGATGGAAATTTCTTACCATGGAAACAACAGGCTATGGCCACGATTAAAGGATTCAAGTTGCAGAAATACATCAGCAAAGATGATGCTGCTAATATCAGATCTGCCGTAGAAAAAGAAATCTGGGAGCAACAAGATCAGCTCCTCATGTCATGGCTCTTGGCTTCAATGTCTGAGTCGATGCACACCAGAATGGTTGGCTGCAATTATTCATATGAAGTTTGGAAGAATCTTGAAGAGTTCTTTACTTCCCAAACTCGTGCCAAAATAAAACAGCTCAAGATTCAACTCAAGAACACCAAGAAAGAAGGACCTGTTTCAAAATATCTCTTGCAGATTAAGAAGATAGTCGATGCACTAGCAGCAACTGGTTCCAAGGTTTCTGTTGAGGACCATATTGATGCAATCTTTGATGGATTAGGTGAAGAATATGATCCGTTTATTACCTCAGTGACCTCAAGATCTGATGCCTACAGTGTTAATGAGATAGAAGCTCTACTGCTAGCTCAGGAAGAACGAATTGAAAAACACAAGAAACATGATTTGAATCATCTCCAAGCCAATTTCACACAGATGAATTTCAGAAGAGGCAATTTCAGAGGAGGTTTTTCTAACTTCAACAATAGGGGAGGTCCTTCCAATTTCAACAGCAGAGGAGGTCCATACAGAGGCAATGCGCCTTACAGAGGAAGAAGTTTCAGAAGTGGAGGTCGCTTCAACAATAACAATTTCCAAACTGGTTATGTTTTCAATGGAGGCAAACAGCAGTGTCAGGTTTGTGGCAAATATGGTCACTCTGGCTGGGAGTGTTACCATCGCTTCAGTCAAAGCTATCCCAATCCATTTGAGCAGCAGCAGCAACAAGTGTTTTCAGCACCTTCCAAGATTCAATCCAACATGACTATGGCAAGTTCCAGTGCTTCACAAAGTGATGACACCTCAGATTTCTTCTCTGCATTTGATCCCACATGGTACCCTGACTCAGGTGCCACAAACCATTTCACACCAGATTCCTCAAACCTTGCATCCAAAACACCTTACACAGGTCAAGAAACCGTAAAGATAGGTAATGGGTCAGGTATGCAAATAAAGCACATTGGTCATTCTGTTCTTGAATCTTCTTCTTTAGCCTTTACACTGTCCAATTTGCTTCATGTTCCCAACTTATCCAAAAATCTCATAAGTGTATCTCAGTTTGCAAAAGACAATGCTGTATTCTTTGAGTTTCATGCTAATGTCTGCTTTGTCAAATCACAGGCTACCAAGGAGATTCTTCTCCAAGGCAAGCTTAAAAATGGTCTCTATGCATTTGAGGGTGCTGCTGTTTCAAAGCCAGCAAAGGAGTCCAAGCATCCAAGACTGTTTCCTTCTTCTACTTGTACTAATTCGAGTCTGTCTAGCATTTCCAATACTTCCTGTTATACTGTATCAAGTCAATTCAATTCTTCTACTCTAGGTCTTTGGCATGGTCGATTAGGACATGCAGCCTTGAAAACTGTAAAGTCTGTACTTCAACATTGTAATATTCCATTCTGTAATAAAACTGATCAGGCCATTTGTAAAGCATGTTGTATGGCCAAGATGCATCAACTTCCCTTTTTCAATTCTGACACTATATATACTAAACCTCTTGAACTTATCTACTCAGACATTTGGGGACCTGCAGCTACTCCAAGCACAAATGGATCTAGATACTATATTAGTTTCATAGATGCATATAGCAGGTATACTTGGATTTTCCCTTTGCAAAACAGATCTCAAACCTTCACTATATTCACCAGGTTCAAAGCTTTTGTTGAACTACAATTTGAAACCAAAATCAAAACACTCCAAACAGACAATGGCAAGGAGTATATCAAACTAACCCCATTTCTCACAGAACATGGCATTATCCATAGATTCTCTTGTCCATATGTTCACCAACAGAATGGAACAGCCGAAAGGAAACACAGACATGTTGTTGAAACAGGCTTGGCACTCATGGCTGCCTCATCTACACCTACACAGTACTGGGAAGATGCCTTCCTCACTGCAACCTTCATCATTAACCTTCTCCCAACACCAGTGCTTCAAAACCAATCTCCTTATCAGGTTCTGTTTAACAAAGTTCCCAATTACACATATCTCAGAACTTTTGGTTGTGCTTGCTACCCTCACACTAGACCCTATAACTCTCACAAGCTGGATTACAGATCCACTCAATGCACTTTTCTTGGCTATAGTCCTCATCATAAAGGCTACAAATGTCTTGCTTCCTCTGGTCGAATCTTCATTTTCAGAAATGTTCTATTTGATGAAACTTTGTTTCCTTTCACAACACTAACACAAAATCCTAGTCCACATCAAACTTCAGTAACTTTACCCTCCATTCCCTTTATTCCTATAGTTCAGTCACAGTCCTCAACTCAAGTAACTAATGATCATAATGCTATGATTTTGCCTACTGACACCATTGTAAATGAAACTGTTTCTACTTTGCAATTTGTTTCTTCTCCTGACAGGTTAATCCAAGCCACTGCCAATTCAAATCCTTGTATCTCAGCACCCACAGAGGTCAATCCCATCACAGATGCTCCTCCACTGCCTGCACCTACTGTCACCAACACTTCAAATCCTCCACTGCCTGCACCTGCTGTCACCAATACTCATCGGATGACTACCCGTGCCAAGGCTGGAGTCTTCAAACCAAAAGCTTTAAATGTTGCACTGGAACCAACCACTGCCACTCAAGCCATGTCTCAACCTCATTGGGTCAAGGCAATGAATGAAGAATATGATGCACTAATGAGGAATCACACTTGGCAATTGGAACCTTTACCTCCAGGCAGATCACCCATAGGCTGCAAGTGGGTTTTTAGAACCAAATACAAACCGGATGGCAGTATCCTCAAATACAAGGCACGCCTAGTTGCTAAAGGATTTCATCAACAACCAGGATTTGATTTTGCTGAGACCTTCAGTCCAGTGGTCAAACCCACAACCATTCGAGTAATACTCAGCTTAGCAGTAACACAACAGTGGCCCATCCATCAAATTGATGTAAACAATGCTTTTCTCAATGGAGATCTAAGTGAAGATATCTTCATGGAACAACCTCCAGGCTTTGTGGCTAGTGACAAGTCCCTTGTATGCCGTTTAACCAAAGCTCTCTATGGCTTAAAACAAGCTCCTCGAGCTTGGTTTGAGAAATTAAGCTCCACCCTCATCAGTCTTGGTTTCACAGCAACCAAATGTGATAGCTCTCTATTTGTTTCTTTCACTTCCACTGCTACAATTTATGTCTTAGTTTATGTAGATGACATTCTGATCACTGGATCATGTGTTTCAACCATAAAAACACTTATCCAGTCCTTGAATTCTGCATTTGCCCTCAAAGATTTGGGCCACATTCATCATTTTCTTGGAATTGAAGCTCACAAGCTTCCCACTGGACAGATTTTGCTCAATCAGTCCAAGTACATTGCTGATCTTCTCACCAAAGCACATATGGCAGACTGCAAACCTATGCCTTCTCCAATGATATCGGGCTTGAAACTTTCCTCCACAGATGGCTCTCCCTTCCATGATCCCTCACTCTACAGGTCAGTGGTTGGTGCTCTCCAGTATGTCACGATAACTCGACCTGAACTCTCTTACTGTGTCAACAAAGTTTGCCAATTTATGCACAATCCTTTAGATTCTCATTGGAAAGCTGTAAAGAGAATTCTCAGATACCTTTCTGGCACTGCATCTTACGGTCTTCAATTTTCTCCTTCGATTCATTCTCATCTCATTGCCTACTGCGATTCTGACTGGGGTTCAGACCCAGATGATCGAAGGTCTACATCTGGATACTGCGTCTACCTTGGTGGCAACTTAATATCCTGGTCCTCCAAGAAACAACCAGTGGTTAGTAGATCAAGCACTGAAGCTGAGTATAGGTGCATAGCTTCCACCATTACAGAACTCACTTGGCTTCGTTCATTGCTCTCTGAGTTGAAAGTTCCTCTTCCCAAACCTCCAATACTGTACTGCGACAACCTAAGTGCTGTGATGTTATCTGCTAATCCTTTATTTCACTCCAGAACCAAGCATTTCGAGCTGGACCTGTTTTTTGTACGAGAAAAAGTAATCACCAAGGAAGTTCTTATTCATCATATTCCTGCACTTTATCAAGTAGCTGATGGCTTCACCAAACCAGTTTCCAACATCAAGTTTACCGAATTTCGCAACAAGCTTCGCGTTTCTCTCCTCTCCACTGCTCAGCTTGCGGGGGGATGATAGAGTAATATAGCTAATAGATTAGTTTAGCCAAGTTAGTTATAACTGTCAAGTTTATATTCTGTTAATCATAACAGAATCCCTCTATATAAGGATCTGGTATCTCAGTGTATTTCATTATTCAATACAATTCTCATTCAATCTCTTTTAGCTTTTCTTCCTTTCTTGTTATCTGCATATGCATCTGATACCTTACACTGTTTATGGATTGGAGTGTGGAAGACAGGTGGTAAAGTGAGAGGACGTTGGTGGCTACCATGACTATACAGTGGTGAAGGTGAAATCCAGTTGGTAATATTAAGGTCCCAATTCCTCCACGATGCTGACATCCTCCACGATCCCTGGTTCAACAAGGTTTTTCAATACTCTGTGTCTTCAACTTCGCTTTCTCTTTTTCTATCAGTATCCGAGTTTGCCAAAATTTTGATGACTTTGATTTCTGTGATTTATTTTTTACTTGATTTGATGAGTACATGTGTTAACGACCTTGAAATCGGTTTTGAGTGTAGATTACTGAAAACATTTAATTGTTATGGAATTATTTTACTCTTGTTAAATTAATTAATGTGCATATGATGATTACGTGAAAATAGAAGCTAATTCTTTGTTTATCCCCCCCCCCCCAAAAAAAAAAAAAAAAAGGAAAGCTAATTCCATTTTCTACTGAATTTGAAGATCTTTTGACTGTATGTATCTGAGCTTATGATATTATTGCATTTTTAGGTGCCGGGTGAGCCCAACATATCATATATCTGCTCTCGATAGAACTTATATTTGGGGCAACTGAATATACAACTGCTATTTATATGTGGTCTGCTGGTTGTGTTTTGGCTGAGCTCTTTCTAGGACAGGTGAGGATATGCACTATTTTATTTTATATCCTTTTCTTCTCTCTCTCTCTCATGTTGTGGATAAGTTATTCAACTTTCAATATTTTCATTAAGTTTGTTGTATATAAGAAAAATCTGGATTGGTTTTGTGTTTACTTGGCTGATATTGATATTTAATATGCTGTTCAGTTTTGGAGAAAACTCATTTATGTTAAATTTACATGTTAGTTTAAGTTAAACTCAAGGCGAAGAACATGAAGGGAACATGGATCCTCAATTGCCATTCCTCTGAATCAAGCAAAATACACTTGTTACTAACATCAAAAGTCTCTTCTAATTTATGCCATCATCAAAGAGAAATTGTATGTGGTTTTACAGTTCTGAAATTGGTTATCTTATGTTTTTATTACAGATACAATATTTGAAAAATGTACCCCTTCAGTTTTTTTAGATATAAAACCATTCAGGAGTCTCATATAACAAAAAGTTTATTAGTTTTTGACAAGATATCATAGCCTCTAAGATCCAAGTAGTTAGGAGTGCAATCTTTGCCGCTTCTCTTCTTCTAAATAGAAGTTAAATTTCTGGATAAGGTAAGCATGAATTTGTTAGATATAATATCATCCATGTAGGGTGTATTCATATAGATTACCTCTTGATAAGCTGTTAATGCTTGGTCAGGAAATACCCAATTTTTATAAACTGTTGAAGACATCTCCATAGCATATTGTCCGAGCATAAAGATTTCCTCTATAAAGCCATCTGCATTAACTAGTGATTGCCGTGCAAGTGCATTGATATTCATTGTGGGTCGTTTACAAAAAATTGATGAGCACTTTTTTAATTTAATCCAGTTAAACTCGATGTTTTCTTTCTTCTTTATATGGTTCTAATTTTTACTCCCTTCCCTGGTTAATTTATTTTAAGATTCAAATCTTAAATTAATAATATTGTCAATATTCATCAATAGTTATTTTCATTAGTTTTTCATTATTTTGGTTTCTTTGTTGCAGATGAACCCCTATATGACTCCACTGCATACACTGAGGTAATTAAAATAATTGCATTTCAACATTGAACTGGGATTAACACTCTCTATTTGTTTTGAAGACCAATTAAACCTGTAAGTTTTTATATCAGTGGATTTTTATTTCTAGTTCTTAACGAAAGATATGACTTGTGTGGTTGACAATTGGAATGGCTGAGGGTTGTACAAAATTGAGTGTTGTAGTGAATGGTGAATTATATGCTTTTGATCCTTCTGATTCTATGGATAGTGGAATGATCAAGGTATATGATCGAGGACAAGATAAATGAAAAGTAGTTACTGGAAAAGTCCCTATTTATGATTTTACTGATTCAGAGTCTCCATATCTACTTGCTTGTTTCCATGGAAAGCTTCATTTCATTACAAAAGATGCCAATCATGATATTGTTGTTCTCCAGGCCGATCTGCACAGTAATTTGGATTCTTCACCATCAACCTCAACCCCTTCATCACGCAAGTCCTTGCATGAATTTATTCTGGAATCAGTTGCTGAAACAACAGCAGTTGTTTGGGAAGTAGTTGCCATTAGGGGTTTTGGGCAGGCTGAACTTATCAGTTGCCAAGTCATAGATATCTAGATTGATACTAAGCTACAAATCTGACAACCAATATGTCATGTTACTGGAAGTCACGTGAGTTAGCATCATGGCCGTGAATCTGTAATCTGACCTCGATGCAAAAAATGACGAGTGCATAATAGCTTGTATTTACTTAATTGAATTTTTTTTATCTCAGGTAATTATACATGTAATTAACCAACTGAAGACAGAATAAAAAATAAGTCATCTCTAATCAGTTACTTAAAAATCTATTGAACCCTAAAACTTCAACTTAAGCATTTGGAATAAATTGGTTGTTGTCAAATGGCTACTTCCAGAAATCCTTGTGCTAAACTGAAGGAACATTCAGAGATCAAGTGATGGATCTTACTAGTCTTCACATTTTAAACGAGAGAACAAAGAGAAGTGGATTCTAAAGGTGGAGTGCTTCCAAAATGGTAAAACATTTATCAGATTTCATTACTGTTGTAAAGAAGACCACACCTCTGAAATTGGAAGCTTGATTTCTTCTTGGCATGCAATGCTTCAGCAAGCTCAATCTCCAATGCAAGAACTCTTTCTAATGCATTACCATTGATGAAGATTTATTCAACACAAAATATATTTCCCAACTCTTTGATTGGCCTGAGCAGAGTAAAAATAAATAAGAATCTGGAAAATACATGTTCATACAGGATGACTATAAAGGAAGATGCAGTAAGAATCATTTACCTTATGTAGCTGCATGATTTCTCTTTGCAGACCAGGAAAACTTGCCTCATCGATGTGATCATCCACTGGAGGAAGCGAATTCTCATTTCTTACCCTTTCCAACTGCAATCATTTGATGACATTGGATCAGACACAAAACAAGGAAAGCAGCAACTCAAAAAAGGAATATGTAAATACTATCTACATTCCCTTATGCATGATATTAGAGGAGGGAAGTACAACTTTTTATGAGTAAAGAAAAAAAAAAGAATTAGTAGAAACTGGAATAAATGAATCATAGAAAACAAAATACCTCCTTGTTCAAGGGGTCCATGCTACATTTCAAGCTTTTAGTTAAAGCCATTCACTTCTTGTCTTCATTCTGTTGCAAGTCCTCTTCAATACCAGCATTTTCGTATCCATTTATACCTAAAAATGCAAGAGGATTCTATGCAATGATTATGGGACACATTGTTAAGGATTACCACTCAAGATAGACTAGGTAAAATAGAGTTTCCTTTCATAGTTAAGATATTGTAAGGGAATCAAAGAAGATGAGGCTGTATTGTAGGGAGAGATTCAGGGAATCTTTAGCTCCACTACCACATGCTGAGTCAGCACCACATATTCACCATTTAGTTAGTACGAGAAACGGTGAGAATATGGTTGATTTGGTGGAATGATGGGAAGCTTCTAGAGCTACAATTCTCTTGCATTAAAAGGGATCATGGAAAGGAATTCATCATCTTCGGGACTAAGACTTAGGCATTTGGAAGAGACCAGGGGCTCTTGAATTCTCTTGGAATATCTTTTCCTTATTCTTGTTATTTTAAAATTTTCTTCTTCATTTCTGTTGCTGAAATCTGGCTTTGTTTTGAGCTGTATACCGGTTGAATCAACCATTATCAATATAATTTTCCATGTCTTTTTCTTTTTTAACCTATAATTCTGGTTGGACTTTATCAGATACCTTCATTAGAAATTTGGCACCATCAACATTTTCTGTATTTTAAATTTTTTATATTCTTAATCAATACAAACTCATAGAAATAAGGCAATTTTCCACTCTTGAATCCGAACAAGTAGATCTACTACAAAAAGAAAGTTCCCCGTATTTATAGTCATATGATTATGATGCCAATAATATCTGCAATTTATTAGACAAAAAACTGTCAAAATTCTGCAGATTATCATTCATAGAAGCCAGCCATTAAATTTAGTTCTTATAGATTTTTTCTCTTCTTGCAAAACATATATTTCATCACGGAGATGACCATTGAGGCTCTCTTTTGTCAAGAAATTCTTCCATATGTACCGCAAACCATGTATTGACTCTCATAACCTCTCACCTCTGTCAGAAGGCTTTCAACTCGTTAATTTTTTCAGTAAGAATATTGTTTTCACATAACAAGAAATTTTAAGCTGCTTCTAAATTTGATTAATGGTGAACTTCTTCTCATTGCACCTATTTCTGGCTGAATAATAACTTAAAATAAGTGTATTGTTGTCAGCTAAAGCACCTTAGATATTGTAACATGGTGACCTTGCTTCAAACAGGAAAAGAAACAAAACAATAAATGTGATATCACTGATCTCTCTAGCAACTTGAAAATTTTTCAACAGATATGCAAGAGTTAGATACCATTTCCATGTAAATAGAAATGTACAACCTAAGAAATCAAACTTATGCACAACTATACAAGTGTTTAAACAAAGAACTAACGAACACAAGATGATATTACACCAGGCAAATACAAAGTTCAGAAATCCTCACTTGTAGTGATATTTTCCAAGCCAAAAATAATAAGAATTTAGTTATAAAAGAGCATTTTCTGTATATTAATTGCTTTTATTATTTAGTTTTTTCATTTCAGTTTATTTTTCATTTTTTTTTATAATTTTTACAGGTTAAAATACGAAGAAATAGGAAATTGGAAAAAGAAGGAACAGAAAACCGCGCTATCCGCGTGGAAGTTGGCGCTACCCGCGCGGGAATGCGTGCACCATACAAACTCCAAAGAGTTGGCGCGGTTGCAACGCCAACTCCGGGCGACCCGCGCGAACTTCAGCGGGGAGTCAAATTCGGAACGTTTAAAGGACGTTGCGAGAAGAAAAAAAGAGGAATTTTGGGGATGACAGAAGGACAAGGATTCCAATTGGAGGAGTACATCAAGGGAGCAATTCATCGTTCTTAGTGGATCATCGTAATTTTATTTTGATTTCTCTTTTATAATTGTATGTCAGCTATGTCTATGGCTGACTAATTTCTTTTTTTGTAGTTAGGGTCACAAACCTTATGTGAACCCTTTTTACAATGGATTGATTTACTTTCGCTCGTTTATTTTAATATATTTTATTTTTACCCTGTGCGTATTGTTTATTATTTCTGTTAGACTTTATCAACCTAATAGGAGATAATAATTTGGGAATTAGGGCTCGCAATAGGAATATTTGGGGTTCTGATTTTGAAAGGGGGTAAAGTAACAATTTATGCATGCTCTAGGGATAGACTTGTGTGAATTGCATTCGTTTAATTTATTGTGGTTAATGCTTAATTTCAAGCGGGGCTGCTAAGGAATTAGGGTTCCAAATAGATTAAAGGGTTAGATTACCAAGGAATTGTGATTTAACTAATTATTTCTAGATGATAAATTGTCTGAGTTATTAAAATGAATGAACATTTTTAATCAATCCAAAGTTTAAAGCGGGGATCATATGGTGCGTGTACCTTAGCTGCAATGTCTTTTATTATTCTCTCAAAAATCCAAATTTAACCATTGCTTATTAAATTGAAAATTATATTTTAAATTTTTATCTTTATTTTATCATCAATTCACTATTTTCCAAAAACAACCGAGTTTTCCAACTTAAGGGGACTGGTTATTGTGGTTCTTGATTTATAATTCCTGTGGAGGAAACGATACTTTACTTACTCATTATATTACTTGTGCGATCGGTACCTTGTCGGTGAGCATCACACAACTATACAAGTGTTTAAACAAAGAACTAACGAACACAAGATGATATTACACCAGGCAAATACAAAGTTAGAAATCCTCACTTGTAGTGTCGTTGCAGCCTAGCATTCATCAAGAGGCAAAGTGATAGTTGCAGGCTTCAAAGCATCAAGAAAATCAGCCAGATTAATATTAACCTCGCCAAGGATGGTAGATCGTTGAAAACCCTAAATGTCAATTAGGCCAAAATTGAAGTTAGTACAGTTCTAACAAGACACTAGCCACGTGTCTGTTATTGGAAAACATACACAGTGCCTAGGTATTTCTGATGCGGAAAGCAACAAGGGACAAGACAGTTATTCTATGGAAAAACATGAAACTAATCATTTTGAATAACAAACTTATTGAATAAAAAATGAACAATTTAACAGTATCTTTGATCATCTTTTCCCACACAATTAGGGAATGTAATCAAGATACCGGAGCATAAATTATGTATAAATTATACAACAAAAAAAGGCTTATACAATGTGGCATTCAACATTAATATCAACAACACCTTGTTTCTCTGTATACGAGCTTCTTCAAAGAAGACTTATTACTATTGATTCGATGATCCCTATAGTAATTATTGGGGACGGACAAATAGGTTCAGCCATACATAGTGGCATCTAAATTGGAGACACGAATTGATAATTGATTGAAGGCACTTTGGAGACCTTACACTGCTGTTGCCTTTTGTTCTGCATATTTTATTGGGATTATTTGTACTTGTAGTCCACTTGTCATTTTACAAATCTCTATGTTCACTTAGTGTTTTACAAGTCTATGATGGATTGGGTGCCTTTGGTTTTGCTAGGATTTCCTCTTCCTTTTGCTATAAATTCTAGTGCACTTAGGGTGCGCATGACAACCTTTTCGGAATCAATTTTTTGTTTTTAATTTAGGTTCCCGGGAACAGAAATGGATAGAAAACTCGTTTGGTAAAATCAGTTTATTTTTTTGTTCCCAGGATGAACCGGATTAATTTTTGAGCTGGAGAACAGAAAAAAGAATCGAAAATTTTCTGCTTTTTTGTTCCCGGGCACAAAATGAGAAACACTTATCTCTCTTAATCAATCTCTATCTCTACCATCATCACCACCACCACCATCATACCAACACGACCACCGCCATCATTGTCGTCGCCGTCGTCGCCGTCGTCGTACCACTAGTGCTGTTGTGACCACCCCCACCACCATGATGCCACCGCCACCATCACCACCACCTCCACCCATCACTACCACCAAGCCACCATCACCACCGCCACAACTACCACCGTCGCAACCACCAGCATTATCACCATCATCACCATTACCGCCATCATCCACCACCACCATCATTGCAACCACTGCCGCCACTGCCACTACCACCATCGCCACCATCTCCATCATTGCTGCAGCCACCACCGACACCGCCGCCGCCACCAACCACCACCACCATCGTAACAGCCATTACCACCAACATCGCCAACATTACACCACCATTGCCACCTACCATTATCACCACCGCCACTGCCACCACCACCACCATCTCCGTGATACCATCACAACCACCACCACCATGCCACCGCTACCATTGTTGCCGCCACCAACCACCATCCCCACCATCATTGTCGCAACTATTGTCGTTACCTCCACCACCGCTGCCATCACCACCACT